GGGTTTATTGTTTTTGTCTGTCTTGACTAGCTAGAAGGCCACTTGCTGTTTGCCTAGCTAGCTAGCAGCTAGCTAGGAGCTAGCTAGCTGTGCGGCTAGCAAGCCCGCGGGCCATTATTTGACTAGCTAGCTACATAGCTAGCTAGCTAGCTAGCTAGCTAGCTAGCTACCTATCTATGTAGCTAGCTAGCTAGCTAGCTACCTAATAGCTGGTGGATCAACTACGAGCCGGCCTGGCTAGAGAAGCAGTTTACCAGCTAGCTAGCTAGGAAGCTAGCTATGTAGCTAGCTAGGAAGCTAGCCAGCCAGCTAGCTAGCCAGCTAGCTAGACACCTAGCTACTAGCTAGCTAGCTAGCTAGCCAGCTATCAAGAAGCTAGGTAGCTAGCTAGGAAGGTAGGAAGCCAGCTAGCGAAACAGCTACTAGCTCGAGAGAGACGTCCCCCGCTGCTGCACCGATCACCCCGCATTCTATGGCACTGCTGCTGCTGCTGCTGCTGCTGCTGAGGCTTGCTAGCTCTGTGGGTGTCCAGCCCGGTGGGGTGTACGTACAGCTCGGGGGGGGGGGAAGAGCCGGCGAACTGGCAGCTAGCTGGACAAATGAGCAGTAAATAAACAAATAAAGAAGTAAATAATATATAAATAAATAAATAATTAAAAATAAATGAATAATGAAAGGGTTTTGGAAACAAACGCAGCTCATTTGCCCCCAGTCGCGCCCCACACAGCAGACACCCACTGGCCCAGCAGCGGGGGCCCCACAGCCCTCACGGCCCTCCCCTCTGCCCCCTGCCACACAACATCTCCCCTGCTGCTGCTGCTGCTGCAGCTGCTGCTGCTGCTGCTGCTGCTCCTGCTGGGGTCGGGAGGCCCGAACAGCTCCTCCTTCAGAGATGCTGGGCCCTGCCCAAGGGCCCACAGGGCCTCCACCGAGTCAGCCAGCGAGGGGCCCCCGAGGGGGGGGCCCCCACCTGGGGGGCCCCCACCTGGAGGGCCCCCACCTGGGGGGCCCCCACCTGGGGGGCCCCCACCTGGGGGGCCCCCACCTGGGGGGCCCCCAGGGGGGGGCCCCCCAGCTGGGGAGCCTTCAGATGGGGGGCCTCCGGCTTGGGGAGGGTCTGTGGGGGCGCTGCTGCAGCTGCTCGGTGGCTGTTGCTGCTGGAGCTGCTGCTGCTGCTGCCAGACCATCTCCTCCCACCGCTGCTGCAGCAGCAGCCGCTGCGGCTCTGGGGTAGCAGCAACTGCCTGGGGGCCCAGGATTAGGGGCGAGCAAACCGGCAGCAGCACCAAAGGGTTCAGAGGGGCCCCCTGGGGGCCCCTGGGGCTCAAAGGGGCCCCTTGGGGGTCCCCAGTCGCCTTTGCTGCTGCTCGGGGGCCCCCCAGCCGCAGCACAAAGTGAGATCTGCTGCGGACGAGGCAGTCAGCAGCTCGCAGCCACGAGGGGCCCCACACCTGCACACAAACCCTAAACCCTAAACCCTAAACCCTAAACCCTTGATCCTGGACACCAAAAGCAGCACAGCGAAGCCAGACGGATAGACCTCAGAATCTCCGGCAGCAGCAGCAGCAGTACCAACGCCGGAGGCAGCAGAAGTGGCATTGGCACAATCCCCAGAGCACAGCCGCTCAAAGCCGCACCAGCACAGCTCTTGCTGCTGCAGCAGCACCCGCAGCAGCAGTACAGCCACTTAAAGCAGCAGCCGCAGCAGCAGTACAGCCACTTAAAGCAGCAGCCGCCGCAGCAGCACAGCTGTTGCTGCAGCAGCAGCAGCCGCAGCAGCAGCGCAGCCACTCAAAGCAGTAGCCGGAGCCGCACCAACAGCAGCCCAGCCACTCAAACCAGCAGCAGCAGCAGCAGCAGCAGCAGCCTTTCCTTCTGCCTGAACTGGGCGAAGAAGTGTGCAGCACAGCCCTCGAGGCCTCGAGCATCATTTTGTTTGCTGCGTTTTGTCTCCAGCAGCAAATCCATTAATTGAAAGTCAAAGACTGCTGCCTTGTCTCCGCAGCGCCCGCTGGCTGGCAGCAGCACGCGCAGCAGAGCGCCTCCTGCAGCAGCAGCAGCTGCTGCTGCTGCCGCTGCTGCGAGGCCCCCAGAGCTGCTGCCGCTGCTGCTGCCGTTGCTGCTGCTGTGGGCGCCACGGCGATACAACTGCAGGATCAGAGCGTCGAAGCAAGGCCAGAAAGCTAGCTGCACGCAACGCACAAAGCACCTGCTGCTGCTGCTGCTGCTGCTACTAGTGCTGCTGCTGCTCCTGCTGCTGCTGCTCCTGCTGCTAGTGCTGCTGCTGCTGCTGAGATCAAAACCTAGCATTTACTTCTTACGCGCTGGATAGCATGCTGAGGGGGCAGCCGAACGACACTCAGAAGAGGGTTTACAGGGTCTGCTGCTGCTGCTGCCGCTGCTGCTGCTGCTGCTGCGGTTGCTGCCTGCTGCTCTAGCTCCGGTAGAGCAGGAAAAAGAAGCCGGAACCAATCCAGCAGCAGCACGGGGC